ACGTGAGACACACCAGACGGGGTAGGACGGGGGGGAGGGGGGGCAAGGGCTAATGGGGGGCGGTGGGAACCAAAAACAGGGGCGGGGAAGCCGGAAGACCTTGGTGAGGAAAGCGGTTGTAGAAGGAGACAGACTCGTCAAAAGTGACGTGACGCGAGTGAAGGAAGCGGTGAGACGGGGGGTGGTAAAAGTGCCAGTCAGATGAATAAGGGGGAAAATGAGGAGGGACAGTGCGGGCAATGAGCTTTTGCGTGCCGGAGGCATGAACGTGAGCGAGCTATCCCCAGACATGGAACGCACACACATCACCAGGGAACCCGGTCCAATAAAGGGTCGGCAAAACCTGAAGCCGCTGGGAGCGCGGCCACAGGTTAAGCTGGTGAGCGGCGTAGCGAATAGCGAACGACCACAGAAAATATGAATCCTTGAGGTACGAGCCACCTCCATGACCAAACCGATGTGTCGCTTAGCGATCCCATTCTGCTACGGAGAGTTCGGTAGGGTGTACGACTGGGTGATGCCCTCCACACGACAGAACTGTCCAAGCCAACCGGAGGCGAACTCGCCGCTACGGTCAGTGTGGAGACACAGCATAGGGAGACCGCGGTAGAGATGTGCAGCTACGAACCACTGGATAAGGACATCAGGCACGTCGGCCATCCGCTCTAAGGGGAACACCATGGTGTAGCGCGTGAAGTCGTCGACGAGCATGAGAAAGTAGCACTCGTGACGAGGTCCAGGGACGGGGGCTGGGCCCCAGACGTCCAGGTGCAGGGTCTGAAGGGGTGCGGCAGCAGGACGAAGCGAGGAGGAGTGAGGAGCACGGTGCAGCCAGCCCTTAACGCAGGGCATGCACGGCGGCGCAGGCGAAGTTGTTAGGATTAAGGACGGAGTCTAGGTGTGCTTAGGAGCTAGAAATACTCAAAATATAAATCCGAAATTCTGGACAGAAACGTCGTCTTCACAAGAAACGACGTCGACAAAAAACTAGCTGTTGGAATGTTGCGAAACTTGGAGATGTTGTAGCTCTTAATTTCAGATACCGTTCCCAATTTGAATCACGTTGATTGATGAAGTATTCGCGACGCTATGGCTTTCGACGCACTGGGGGGTAAGCTGTAGGAGGAGAACTTATCTCAATCTCAAAAGTTCAATCAAAGTTCAAGAATCTCACAAGGAATTAGAGGAGCAAGAGAAAGGTTGGGATAGAAGATAGGGATGAGAGGGAATGTCCTAAGAGAGTCCCCAATCAAGGAAACCCCATAAGCACAAAGATTCCCTCCCTATTGGAACCCGAACTTTGACATTTGTCCCTTCCCAACCAATCCATCCAAGTTGGCCACCCTTGCCAACCTAGCTTGGTTGTTCCCAACCAATTTGCAGCTGTTACAGTAGAGTGACAAATTTCCCCAACTCCAAAGGTCCCAACTCCATATAGAGTCACCCCACAACTTCACTTTGTAACCGCCGTAATTGTAACGCAAGCTCATGAACTTTGAATCTTCATAGCTTTCGCGTTCTTGCTCCGATTGAAGCGATTCTTGTTGCGTCAGAAAGATCTTCTCAAGATCTATCATTACAAATACATGCTCAGACAAAATAACACAAAACACATTCCCAAACTCCAGAACACACCACACATAAATTCTTTCACACACAGTCAAACCATACATGCGAATTCAAACAAGGGATGGGAGGCAGACAGAATGTGATAGCATATGATGACATCACACAACAGAGGTAAGAAGGGCAGGAAGCGACGCAAGGAGACCTAGGACGAGACCGTGCTGAGACATGTGACGTAGGCGCGGGAGTGCAGGGTGGCCTAAGCGGTGGTGCCACAGAAGCGACGGGTGGGTGAGCGACCGACACGGGCAAGCCGCAGCTACCTGGGTAGACGAAGAGCCCGGGGAGGATGCGCCAACCGGGGGGGAAGTAGTGTCCAGTGTAAACAGGCCAGACACCAGGTCCCGGGGGAACGTCGCAAGGGGGGAACCTGAGGCAGCCTTGGTACAAACAGCGTACCGCTTGAGACCAGGGAATGTAGTGGTGACGCCGAGGTCATGAAGACAGCCGACACCAACTAAGTTCCTAGAGAACGAAGGGATGTGCAGGCCTGTAAGGGAACCCAAGGGGACCACTAGATTTTGGGTAGTGTAGCTGCGCGCTACGACAGAACCAGACGAAGGGTCAGCAAGGATGACAGCAGCTGGCACGGCAAGTGGCGTGAGGGTGGCGTGGTCATGGAAGAAGCAGGCAGACGCACAGGAGTCAAGTGTGAAGGGCCGCAAAGCAGTAGCGGCAGACGAAAGAGGAGCGAGTGTGGAGCCCAGGCTAGACAGGACAAACGGTCCTACACCTGACACAGCAGGGGAGTCTGTACTACACACAGGTGCTACGCCTAAGCTATATAACACAGGGTAATAAAATACGGACACACTAGAAGCGTCAGCATACAGAGAATGCATGGCATAACTAATCTGATCCATGTCTAAGTCAAAGACATGCACACCGTGGCGCAGCAGAATCGGCCAGTCAGGGAGGTCCGGGGCCGGGCCAAAGTGGCGACGAAAGAGGTCGTCGAGGCAATGGAAGCAGCGGGCGGTCGGGTGCGGGGGGCAGAACACGGTGGTGTGGAGGGGCCCGCTCTGGAGCTGGTACTCGCAGCTGACAGCACCTAGGCCGCCGGTAGACGCCGAGCTGCGCGGGCCGCCACCGCCTCAAGAGGCTCCTGGCCAGCCCGGCGGGAGGCGGTCCCACGGCTGCTGATGCTGCTGCGATTGCTACTGCTGGGGCTGCTCCTGGACACCACCCCCAACCCCCTCGTCAGAACCACTATCCCTGACACCACTACTATCACCACCAGCGCCACCACCTCGCCCTCCCTTGGGGCCGCGACTGCCCCCACGCCGTCGCTGCTGCGGGGAGACCGCAGCGGCGGCCTCAGCAGCAGGGGCAGCCGCCTCTGCAGCGAAAACGTCAGCTTACGTGCACTGGGAGGGAGCACAGCCCTGAAAGATAGGGACTGCCGCAACACCGCTCGACTGAGCGATAGTGCGCTGGCGAGTTTCTATCTTAGACAGGGCAGTGACAAAGGCGGTCAGGGTGAGGTCATCAGGGTGCTGGCTAAGGAACTAGTCGCCGGCAGTGGCTAAGCGATTAGGCAGGCGCGTAGCAATAAGGTACAGGGTAGCGCAAAACGGTGGGCGCAAGGCAGTGAGCTGGGCGGCAGTGCTAGCAGCGTGGTAGTCAGTGTCTAGTGCACGGAGGTGAGTGGCGAGGAAAGCGACATTGGGAAACGTGGCAAGATCTGGGAACAGCATGGGTAGGATCAAGCGGCCAGCAGAGGTAGAGGCAGGCGTGGAGGAGCGAGCAATTGCTGCATCTAGGAAATCCTTGGCGTTTGCGACAGCAGTGAAGCGCGGACGCTCAGACAGGGGAAGAGCATGACTAATAGCGAGCTGCGCTACAGCATCGCGGGAATCCCAGACATTGTGAGCAAGCACAGCAACAGAGAAAGCCTCACGCTCAGCAGTGGTGGGACCAGCAAGGAGGGGATCAGGCGCGGGGGGCCGGGGAAGCAAGCCATCAACATGCACAATCAGGGAGTGCCCATCATGGCGCTGATCTGTCAGGTGCGGACAAAGATCGACAAGCCATTCGGCGAACTGGGCGGGCTACGCGAGGGGCCGGGCGGGCTACGCGAGGGGCGGACGGCCGGCAGTCTGCGGGCGCGCTAAGGGCCGGCGGGTATGCGGCCGGCGGAGGCGCTAGGGGGCGGCGGGTACGTGAGGGGCAGGTGAGGGGCGCGAGGGGCCAGCATGTGCTCTAGGGGCCGGCTGGGACGCTAGGGGCCGGCGGGCACGCTAGGGGCCGATGAAGCGCTAGGGCTAGGGAACGTCGGAGCAGTAGGCTATGGCGAGGGGGGGAAGCAGGTGGGCGGACCTAACCTTCTATGATACCATGTTAGGATACAAGAATGACGAGAAACAGGAGAGAACAAAGGAGATATAGGGTTGGAGTTGTACCCCATAAGAACTCAAGCCTATCTAGCATATAACTTCTACATACAAACAGGTAGATTAAATATATAATGCCAATATATAATAAAATATAGTAAAGGCTAGCTAGGTGCATGCTTCTATAGGGTACAACCCATTAGACTACATCCCCTTGTACAATCTCAGTCTAGTCATATTTTCTTACGCTAATAGCCCCACCTGCGGCTGGCCATGGGGGTGCACGGGCTAGGGGGTGCAAGGGCATGGGGGTGTTGCGGGTTGGGTGGGCTTGTCACTACCAAGCCTAGGGGGTGTGTCAAGTTATGTATTTTATATATCTAATTGTTGAGGCTTGGTAGGCTTTCTACAAGCTGGATCCTACTGTAGAGGGGACAACCCACCCTTCTTCTATCTCCTCCTCTTTCCTAGTCCCTCTCTTTTCTCTCGTAACTTCTCCCCCTAGCTAAACATCTCGCCATTCCATGGCTTCCTAGCTACCTAGTTATTTCAACAGCAAGATGTATGCCAACCATGGAATCTCCATGTAGTGCCGGACATCCCATCGATTCACAAGAATGCTTCTTCATATTATATATAACAAAGATGTTGAATAGGTGAAATGGTTTCCTTTCCGGCTGGCAATGCACTCGACTATGGTATGTAGCGCAGTGGAGCATACCTGATCGCTTCCCCATCCACCATCCCCCGATTTTGCCGTGGTTTTCCCAGCCAATCCGCTATTGCTGTTTCAGTCCCAGTACATATGCAGTTCGTTTCGTGGGGTAGGTTTCGGGATGTTTTGTGAAGGTCTGATGAGGATGCAGAACGGTCGAGTACGGTTCTAACTGCGTGGGTACTCGTGCGACGCCCTTAGGGATTGACGAACTGCTTCAGGGAAAATTGAGAGTCGAGTCAGCGCAGGAGACTCAGACTGATAGGGGATCTCGAGTCAGCTCATTTCAGTCATGCTACACACACACAGCACCCCTGTGATAGGATGAGTCATGTTCGAGCAGACTTTTCGAACTGGTTGAACACGGTACTGCTTGTTTCAGTAAAATACAGTGCGGTTCAGAGTGGTACCCGTTCGAGCAGACCCTCGTGGAACGCCGATGTACCACGCCCGTAGTGTCCACTAGTTGTAGTTAGCCCGATCCATGTTTTAGGTTGAGGCAGGAGCAGGGGTTACGCGGGTTCTGCGGAGGCAGAAGCACTGTCGTAAGAGTGATCGCGCTGCGTTGATTTACGGAAGCCTAATGCTTAGGTGGTGTTGAGTCGCCTCATTGCGTGAGCCGTGAGCCCCGTCCTGTAACCCTAATGCGTGAACTATGCGCCCTGCTCGGTAACTAGAGCGTGTGCCGGGGTGAACGTGGGAGATCATTCGTCATCGGGTTTCGCGAGTTAGGGCGATATCAGGCTCCCACGAAGAAGGAGCGTTAAAATAGGTAGCATCCTGCTGGGAGTTAAAACAGGAGTTTAGCTGACATAATGCTGAAACGCGCAGCAGTTTAGGAGAGGCCCCGCTGGGTCATACGCTTATAGTAGTTTAGCCTTGGGGTGTTTCTAGAGTCAAGGAGGAGTCTTTAAAAAGCAAAGCGAGGCGACGCGAAATGGGGGACAATCAGGAGGGAGAGGACGCCAGGAGTAGGACCCAACGACCCGGCCCCACGTCTCCGTACCGCCCTCGGCAATCCCGAGGTCATAATGTTAAAGAGACGACGCCTGAGTCGGCTCCACAGACGTCTCCGTACCGCCCTCGGCAATCCCGGGGAGTCACTAGTAGTGACGCGACTCCCGATTCGACTCAACACAAGTCTCCCTACCGCTCTCGGCAGTCTCGAGGTCCTAATAGTAATGAAACGACTTCTGAGTCGGCTCAGCAGAAGTCTCCGTACCGCCCTCGGCAATCTCGAGGTGTCAAAAGCGACGCCTCGTCGTCTCCCTCTGATCAGCCGTCGGCTGATGGACCAACTCCCGCCGCCGACTCCGGCGAGGCTCCGCTACAGGTACCTCCGCTTCAAGTTCCTCTGCTACAGGTACCTCCGCTACGGGTACAGTTTGATTTACGCTATAGTGGTACCCGATACATGCCATTAGGGTTTCCAGAATGTTCCGCACGGCCGTCGGCAGATGGGCCAACTCCCGCTGCCGACTCCGGCGAGGCTCCGTTACAGGTACCTTCTTTACAAGTACCGGCGCTTCAGTTATCTCCGCTGTATCTCTGCTTCAGGTATCTCCGTTATAGGCGTACCCGATATATTCTTGTAGCCTAAGAAACATAAGTCCTGGCGAAGCAACCCCTGCTGCCGATTCCGGCGAGTTTCCGCTTCAGATACCTTCCATCCGCGCTGTAGAGATAACGCGATGTATGCACATCGGGTTTCCAGGTAGGACGCTTTAGCGGGCTCGAGCATAGGATGCCCTTATCTGTCGTTTTTTTCGTCACATTTCGCTCTGTCCATCGCCTCGCTACTGTTTTTGTTTTTGTTTTTGTTTTTTGGTTACAAAAATGTCCCTGTTTCGCCCGTTTCGCAGCTGGGGTTCCTCGCGACGCTCTCCAAGTCCAAGAAATGGACGGACGACGACCTACCGGCGACAGACGCGCGACCAGAACACGCCTCCGCGAACGCCTCATCGTCGTCGCACGCGTCGCGGCCAAAGCTGATGCGATCGAAGGCGTCAGTCGCACGGGCACCTGCTGCAGGATCGGACCAAGAAGAGAACCCAGGAACGAACCTGGGAGCGAACCCAGGGCCGCACGCAGGGCCGACCCCAGGGTACGTCCACGGCCATACGCACGTGCGCAAGCCGCGACGCCTCGCAACCTCCGCGACGATCTCCGGAGGGGGAGGCAGGGCGGAAGGCGGAGGGGGAGGCGGAGGAGGGGGAGGCGGCGCAACGTTCGCGGATATAGGCAAGCGGGGGAAGGCTTCCGCGTCTGTTTCCTCCGGGGGCGAGGGCGGGGGGAGGAGACGGGCAGGCGCAGGGGCAGGCGGAGGGGGAGGCACAGGGGGAGGCGCAGGGGGAGGCGGAAGGGGAGGCAGAAATCTTACCCCCTTGTCCACCGGAGGGGGCACCCCTACGAGCAGTTTCCACGAGAACGGGGAGGGCGGGGGGGGAAGCAGCAGTGAGGCGGGGAGCGGGCGCAGCAGAGGGAGAAGCCCTTTCCAGTATTATGACGATGATGATGACGATCTAAGCAGCCATGCTGACTCGGAAATGGAGGTAAATTTCGAGGAGGTTTTGGGCCCGGCGTCGGGGTTTAACTGGATCACTAGCATCAGCGCCGCGTCTACCCCTTCGTCCACTTCTTCGTCGAATAGGGTTACCAGGTTCGCCCCGAGCACGCCCCCGCATCCGCTGGCGTCTGGGGTTCACCCGTCGTTTGCGAGTAACGAGCATGGGGTGCTCGCATCGGCAGCAGCAGCAGCAGCGGCAGTGGCAGCAGCGGGGGGAGGAGTGGGGGCAGCGGGGGGAGCAGCAGGGAGTGGAAAGGAGGCGTTTAAGACTGAAGTAGAAGTATTTATGAGGCAGTCGGAGGGGGTCGTGGGGCTGCATCTTCTAGAGGGGCTTGCGCCTAGGGGCTCTAAACGAAAGCAGACTAAAAAGAAGGTGCTTGTAAGGAAAGTGAGGGAAGAAACGAAGAAGATGGACTTTTGGGGGGAGGGGAGCGGGAGTGAGGACGGGAGGAGGCCGGGGAGGAGGAAGGCGAAAGGGGGGAAGGCTGGGGGGGAAGGGGAAGCAGGGGAGGTGGTTGAGCGGAAGTTTGGGAGTTTGGGGGAGAGGAGGAGGCGGGAAAAGGGGGGGGGAAAGGCGGGGGGAAAGGCAGGGGGGGCAGGAGGGGCAGGAGGGGCAGGGGGGGACGGGGCGGAAGGGGGAGAGGGGGTCGCGGGGAGCGTATTGAGGGGAGGAAGCCGGGGGAAAAGGGGAGAGTCGGAAGAAGGTGGAGGGGGAGGGGAAGCGGGAGATGAGGGGGAGGAAAGCACGGGGAAGGAACGTAGAAGCTTCAAAGAACTGGGGGAGAGGGAGGAAGGCAGGGGGAAGGGCAGGAAAGGGCTGGGTTACGGGGGGAGTAAGTCAGTGGCAGCAGCAGCAGTGCGTAGGGCTCGGCGGAGTACATCTAGTGGGGGGGAAGGGGACATTACTGGTGTGAGTAGTGGCGAGGGGGATGGTGCTGCTGCCACTGGTGACACGAGTTGGACAGGTGGGGCAGGTGGGGCAGGTGAAAAGACCTCGTTTGCTGCCCTGGGCAGGGCTAAAAAGGCCCCGGGCAGGTTATCTGTAGCGAGTCCTGGCGGCGGGGATGGCTCCAGGGTGGATCCAGCAGACGAAGAAGGGTCTTTCATTGCCCTGGGCAGGCGAAATTCCCGAGAGAACTTGTCCGCTGATTTGGGCAGGTCGAAAAATGATGCGTTGACGCCTAAGGGATCTACTACTCCCCCGTTGGCTGGGCTACCCGAGGTTAAAAAGAATCTAGAGGCGGAGGAGGATTTAAGTAAAGTGGCAGGTGTGGCAAAGAAATGGGTGAAAAAAAGCAAGAATGCCAAGGAGGGCGATGAGGGAGGGGAGAGTGACGAGGAGGAAGGGGCGATTGTCGGTTTTGGAACCCAGGTGAAGGATGCGAAGAGAGGAATTGGGGGGTCGAAAGCGGTGGGAGTCTCTTGGGAGGGGTTGAAATCGGCTGCTGGGTTGATAGGGGGAGGGGTTGGGGAGGAGGGTGAAGAGAAAGCGGGAGGAGGAGCAGGGGGAGGGTCATTATCTGGGAAGTTGGGAGAGGGAAAAGGGGGAGGGGCGGGGCCGGATCTTTACCCCGGCCTCCCCCTCCCCCCTGGCCTCGTCCGCCCTAAGACTCCCCCTCCCCTTAACGCCTCACTGGGAAATGCCGGCTTAAAGGCTCCTCCCCCTCCCCCACCCCCGCCTCCGCCTCCTCCTGGGGGCAAAGGTGCGCCTCCCCCGCCCCCTCCTCCTCCCCGTCCCCCCGGCGCCAAGGGACCCCCTCCCCCTCCGCCGCCCCCAGGCTCCAAAGCCCCCCCTCCGCCTCCCCCTCCCCCTGGCGGAAAGGGTCCCCCCCCGCCCCCGCCTCCCCCAGGTGCAAAGGGGGCAGGGCCTCCCCCTCCCCCGCCTCCCCCAGGCGCCAAGGGGGGACTTCCCCCTCCGCCCTCGCCTGGGTTCAAGGGGAAGGGTCCGCCTCCCCCCCCTGGGGGGGCGTTTGGGGGGAAGAGAGCGCTGGTGGACTGGGGGGGAGTGACGAACGCGGATGGCACCATATGGGCGTCGTAAGTTGGGGAACTGGCTGACCGGGGGGTTGTAGTTGGGGAGAATTGGTTTGGAATTGGGGGGGAAGTGTGCTTGTGGACTTGGAGAGGGGGGGGGGGGGGAACAAATGGCCTCGTAAGTATGGGGATTGTAGTGGGAAAAAAGGAAGTGGGTGGAAGAGCGCTGGTGGAATCCATTTCACTTGACTTGCCCTCTTAGTTGCTTATTCTCATCACCCCCGTTTCCCCTCTCCCCCCCAAATCCCCTCTAACCCCCCCCCCAAATCCCCCCCGCCCTTCACCTTAAAACCCCACCCCTGACCTCACCCCTTCCCCCATTCCCCCCCACCAGCGAGCTCTTTTTTGACATTGATATCGGCGAGCTGAGGCAGCAGTTTGAGCGCAAGGCTCTTCCTCTTTCCCTCGTCCCCTCGCCCCGTATCTGCCCTCTCCCCACTCCCACGCCCACCCAACACCAGCGAGCTCGACTTTGACTTTTGAGTCGACTCAAAACTCTCCCCACTCCCACCCAACACCAGCGAGCTCGACTTTGACTTTTGAGTCGACTCAAAACTCTCCCCACTCCCACCCAACACCAGCGAGCTTGACTTTGACATCGATATCGGCGAGCTGAGGCAGCAGTTTGAGCCCAAGGCTCTTTCTCTTTCCCTCGTCCCCTTGTCCTCTCATCCTTACTATCGGCCCTCTTCCCCCCCTCCTCCCACCAGCGAGTTTGCCTTTGACATGGATATGACATTCGCGAGCTAAGGTAGCAGTTTGAGCCCTTGACTCTTTCTCTTTCCCTCGTCCCCTTGTCCCCTCATCCTTACTATCGGCCCTCTTCCCCGCCTCCCCCTACCAGCGAGCTTGACTTTGACATTGATATTGGAGAGCTGAGGCAGCAGTTTGAGCCCACGACTCTTCTTTCTCTCATCCCCTTGTCTCCACCGCATCCCATATCTGCCCTCTTCCCCACTTCCCCCACTGCTGGCAGCGAGCTTGACTTTGACATTGATATCGGCGAGCTGAGGCAGCAGTTTGAGCCCAAGGCAAAGACTGCTTTCAAGAAGGCCGAGCAGCCAGTGAAGAAGCAAGTGATCCGCATTGTAAGTGTTGTAACTTGTATCCGCACTATAAGTTGTGCACTAGTACCCCAGCTACTTACTGTGCACTTCTAGAGCTGAGGCAGCAGTTTGAGCCCAAGGCCAAGACTGTTTTCAAGAAGGCCGAACAGCCGGTGAAGAAGGAAGTCATCCGCATTGTAAGTGGGCGCACTGTGCTGTTCTCTAAAGTGTGCAATGCACTCCCTTGATTCTCTGGCATTGATAGCAGCAGTATGAAGATGCCCAACGTGCCGCCTGGTCATCAATTGAGTATGAAGCTCGCATTTAATTAAATCGCCCCCCAATGCGATGCGATTTAAAATCGCAATCGCATTTTGCCCATGTGCCCCCACCCCCCCCCCCCCCTGGCAGATCGACATGCAGAAGTCACACAATGTGGAGATCTCCCTTCGCAGCATGAAGCTGGTTGAGATGATTCATAGTCTCTCGTTCGCTCCCCCCCCCATCCCCCTCCCCCCCCCCCCCCCCCCCCCCCCCGCGCTCACAGATCGACATGCAGAAGTCACGGAATGTGGAGATCTCCCTTCGCAGCATGAAGCTTCACCCGAACGATCTAGTGGTATGGACCCCTCTCCCCCCCTCCACTCACCTCTCTCGAGTGGTATGGACCCCTCCTCCCCCCCCCCGTCCACTCGCCTCTCTCTCTCCAACCCCACCAGATTGTGGGATGACTGTGCTGCCCCCCTCCCCCCTTCCCCCCCCCCCCCCCCTTCCGTCGGATCTCTCTCTGTCCATCCGTTCCTCTCATCACTGTCGCTGCTTTTTGAGGCGCCTCAAAAAACGATTTTTGAGGCGCCTAAAAAATCCCCCCTTCCGTCGGATCTCTCTCTGTCCATCTGTTCCTCTCATCACTATCGCTGCTGCCACACAGTCATTTCGGCGCACCGCGATTTCCATTGTGCAGCCAGGAGTGAGCGATTTCATCTCCCTCCCACCCATCCAGGTCGCTGTGCTGAGTAGTGTGGACACGTCCACCATAGGTTTGTGGTGGTGCGCCAGCCTGGCTTCTCCCTCCCAACCACCCGCATGCCCTCTCAACCAACTGTCATCTTGCCCGCCCCTTTGCACCATCCAGATTGCTGTGCTGAGTGTGGATACGTCCACCATAGGCGAGTGGTGCGAGTGGTGCGAGTGGTGCGAGTGGTGCGAGTGGTGCGAGTGGTGCGAGTGGTGCGAGTGGTGCGAGTGGTGCGAGTGGTGTGAGTGGTGCGAGTGGTGTGAAGAGACTCCTGCGCCCCTTGAGAAGTTGTTGTCATCTCAAACCCCCTCCCCCCTTCCCCTTCTTCCCCCCCTCCCTCTCCCGTACTTCCCCCATCCCCCCCATCTCCCACCATCCAGGTCGCTGTGCTGAGTGTTGACACGTCCACCATAGGCGAGTGGTGCGACAGCCTGGTGGAAACCCTGCTCAAGTATGGCCCAGACGACAAGGAGAAGAGGCTGCTGCGGGTGAGAGAGTCTCAGGCGCATTGCGCACGTATGGCACGTGTGTGTTGGGTTTGTCTGTGGCTCATGCGTGTTTATGGGATGAGGTGCGACAGCCTGGTGAATATCATACTGAAGTAGGGTCCGGACGACAGGGAGAAGAGGCTGCTGCGGAGGGTGAGTCACAGGTGTAGCTGTATGTATGTATGTAGGGTGCATGCATGGGTGGGTGGGTTATGGTACACGTGTGCGTGGGATGAGTGGTGCGACAGCCTGCTGTGGGCTCTGTTGGACCTCGAGTCAGGGAGAAGAGGCTGCTGAGGGTGAGACCTAATGTGTGTGTGCATATATAGTTAGACATGGGCATGAGCCAAGCCTGGCTCGGCTCGGCTCGTCCAGGGGTCGAACCGAGCCGGCTCGCCGTCGAGCTTGGCTCGGCTCAAGCCGAGCCGGGCACCAAACATCCCTGGCTCGGCTCGCATTTCTGTGGGCGAGCCAGGGCTGGCTCGACGGCGAGCTGGATCGGCTTGGCTCGCCTAGCACGCGCTTTGCGTAAGATTCCTCGCGCTAACTAACCTAATGATAGGGCTCGCAGAATTGGTGCGCGCAGAATTCTAGGGTTCGCGGAATTGACGGGAAGTGGATTGCTTGCGAGGAGGAAGGAGGGTGTTAGAGGTTAGGTTGTAAGTCGTAGATGCAATAGAGTGCAGTGCGGTTGAGCGGGGCAAAAGGGTTGGATGGGTTTTTAGGTCGTCAAAGTTTGGGATTGCGAATTGGCGAATGTCTGGTTGAATTCGCCAGGTCGCAGTGTCGCAGACAAAAATACTGCGTCAATCATTTTGGGCGGGCGTTTAGCGTTTACCCGTTTAAACGCTAAAGGCTGCCCCGCCAGAGCGTTTGCGGAAACATAGACTAGGAGTTGTTGGAGGGAGAGAGAAATGGGAGTCACGTATTGTCGAGGGGGAAATTTTACCCTTGAAATTGAATGGCGAGCCACCAGGCTCGAAATCGAGCCGGGGACGAGCCGGCTCGACCCCGGCTCGACGAGGACACTGTGTACGAACCGAGTCGAGCCGGCCGGCTCGGCTCGAGTCGAGCCGGATCCCAAACAAAAAGGCTCGTGGCTCGGCTTGTGCCCATGTCTATATATGGTGCATCGATGTATGCGTGGCGCACACCTGTGGCGAGGCGAGTGGTCAGCCTGGTGGTGAAGTTAGGCTTGAGCAACGGGTCGGGTCGGGTCGGGTAACCCGACCCGAACCCGACTTTTTGACGGGTCGGGTCGAGATTTGCGGAGGGTCGACCTGACCCTCGGGTACCCGACCCGACCCGACCCGACCCGACCGACAAAACCCGACCCGTCGGGTCGGCTTATTACCCGTCCCTGCCCCTATGCCAACCCGACCCGACCCGAAATCGGGTCCATTAGTACCCGACCTATTAAACCCGGGTCGGGTTGACATTTCCTAAACTCCGACCCGACTTGACCCGACCCGACCCGACCCGAACCCGACATCGGGTAGGGCAAAGTCGGGTCGGGTCGGGTCGGGTTCATGCTCAAGCCTAGTTGAAGTATGGCCTGCACAACAAGGAGAAGCAGCCGCTGAGGGTGAGACATATAGTGTGTGGCGCATGCATGTATGCGTGCATACCTGTAGCTGAAACTCCGGTGAAGTATGGCCAGGACGAGAGGTAGAAGAGGCTGAGGAGACACAGTACAAGAGATCACTGTTGGCCAAGTGACCACAGGTCCACAGCTGGCCAAGTGATCACTGTTGGCCAAGTGATCACTGTTGACCAAGCGGTACAGACCGGATTTTTTAGTGGACTCCAACTTTTGAGTCGACTCAAAACGAGCTGACTTTTGAGTCGACTCAAAAGAGGGAGAAGAGGCTGCTGAGACACAGTACAGGAGACACAATTGGCCAAGCGATACAAACCAGACATCCGGTTAGTACACTGAGATTTAAACTCTGGTGGCACAGTTGTATTTGTGGGTGGCTTATTACACACGCGTACAAGAGATTTTAACTCAGCAATCTGTTATGAGTCGATTTTTTAGTCGACTCTAGAATAGACTCATAACACAGATATTTGACTCAGCAGCAGTCATCTTGTCTCATTCCCTTGCTTCTATGCCTCCATCTCACCATTCCTCCTCATATTTTTGGGGCGCCTAAAAAATTGCCTCCATCTCACCATTCCTCCTCATTCCTTCTCCCTCTCTCCATCCCCCACCCCCCCCCCCCCCCCCCCTCCTTGTCAGGAGTTCAAAGGGAACGTGGAGGACCTGGGCCCTTGTGAGCAGGTGCGTACTGGGGAAGGTAGTTATAACTGGTGGGGAAGGCATGTACTAGGTGACTACTACTGGGGATGTGGCTGCTGGTACTAGGGGGTATCCAGTGTTCTCCTCTCACCACCTCCCTGTCAGGAGTTCATGGGAAAGTGATCGTTCTTTAAGAATCCTTAAAGAACGGACGGTGGAGGATTTGGGCCCATGCGAGCAGGTGCGTGCTGGGGAAGGTAACGACTGGTGGGGAAGGTTCTATCTTGTGGGGAAGATAGCTACTGGGGGGGAGGAAGTGAATAGTGGGGAAGGTAGCTGGCCGATGCTGGAGTAGGTGCCATTTTCTTTCCCCCCGAGCGCGGAGGGTGCTTTCGCGAGGACCGCTGACTCCTCTTAAGTGGAGTAATTTATGAGAATTCTAAAAAATGTCTCCACTTTTGCAAGGACCGCCACTGATTCCTCTTCCCCCTTCTCCGGCCCCATCCCACCCCCCACATCTCTTCCTAGTGCTATTGAGGGTGCACCAAGCGGGGATCACTAAATTCTCTGCCCTTTCCCTCCTGCTTTCAAGGCGCCTAAAACATATTGAGGGTGCACCAAGCGGTGATCACTAAATTCTCTGCCCCTTCCCCCTTTCGCCAATCCCTTATCCCTTCCGAGCGCTGCTGGGACTGCAGCGGCTGGAGCCCAAGCCAGCGAGTGGAACCCACTAAAGTTTTCTGCCCTCTCTCCCTTCTCCCTCATCCGGTGCCCACAGCTCTTCCGAGCGCTGCTGGGGGTCCAGCGACTGGAGCCCAAGCTGAAGGTCTTACAGTACAGAATATTCCTGGCGGAGAGGGTGAGTGGGCGGGTTTAGGGTCTAGGAGTTCATTGAACAGGCAGACCAAGCGTGAGTGGCGGGGTGATAGAGAGGGTGCATGGGATGGGCAGAGAGCATAAGTGGGATGGGGCAGATAGGGTGAGCGGGATGGGGCGAAGAGGGTGAGTGGGATGGGGCGAAGAGGGTGAGTGGGATGGGGCGAAGAGGGTGAGTGGGATGGGGCAGAGAGGGTGAGCGGGATGGGGCAAAGAGGGTGAGCGGGATGGGGCAAAGAGGGTGAGTGGGATGGGGCAGAGAGGGTGAGTGGGATGGGGCAAAGAGGGTGAGCGGGATGGGGCGAAGAGGGTGAGTGGGATGGGGCGAAGAGGGTGAGTGGGATGGGGCAGAGAGGGTGAGTGGGATGGGGCAGAGAGGGTGAGTGGGATGGGGCAGAGAGAGGGCGAGTGGGTGGGTGCACGTGCAGGGTATTTTTGTACCGACTAGATTTGAGGCGATCAAAGCTCAAAGCTCAAAGCTCAAAGCTCAAAGCTCTGGAGTTCAACGCGTTCCTCTGGACCAGCTTGACACCACCATCTCCTGGAAGAGCGGGTGACTGGGAGTGGGTGGGGCAGAGAGGGCGAGTGGGTGGGTGATAAAGAGGCTGAGTGGTGGTTTTTTGATAGAGTTAGCTGAGTAGCTGAGGGTGGGTGCAGACGCAATCAAGTTGGTCACTCACTTTCGCCGCACTCCCTCATCACTCTCCTCATTCTTCTCTCTTCCCTCCCTTCCCCCTCGCTCCCGTCTCTCCCCTCGGCTCCTTCCCCCTTTCCCTCTCCTTCCCCCTCGCTCCCGTCTCTCCCCTCGGCTCCTTCCCCCTTTCCCTCTCCTTCCCCCTCGCTCCCGTCTCTCCCCTCGGCTCCTTCCCCCTTTCCCTCTCCTTCCCCCTTTCCCTCTCCTTCCCCCTTCCCCTCTCCTTCCCCCTTTCCCTCTCCTTCCCCCTTCCCCTCTCCTTCCCCCTTCCCCTCTCCTTCCCCCTTTCCCTCTCCTTCCCCCTTTCCCTCTCCTTCCCCCTTTCCCTCTCCTTCCCCCTTTCCCTGCACCAATGTCCACCAGGCGCCAGAGCTTGCAGACACAATCAAGTTCGTCACTCTGGTTTCACAAAAGGTACGCTCTCTCACCTTCTCTCCCCTCCTCTCCCCCCCCCCTCTTTCCCCCAACCCGCCCCCCTCCCCGCCCCCCTTTCCTGTCTCCCCCTGGCCCCATCCCCCCTGCCTCCGTCAAATTGCTGGTAACCTGCTCCTTATTGTCACATGTTTCTTTTGAGTCGACTTATGATTCACCCTGCCACTATCTCATACCCTTTCCCTAATGTCACATGTTTCTACCATCATATCCGATCCCTGTGCTGTGCTTCCCCCTGTGCTGTGCTTCCCCCCCTTCGTTTCGCCTGTTGCATCTCTCAACGCTCGTTCCCCTAGATCCAAGAGTCCCAGAAGCTGCAGCACGTGCTGCTGGTGGTGCGAGACATTGGCAATAAACTCAATGAAGGAACCAAGAAGGGTGAGTGGGGATGTGGGGTAGGGCCTTTCCTGCTGCTCTGTAGGGCATGTTCCCTCTGCCCTCTGGGTAGTTACCCTCTGCTATTGCACATTCCGGGGGTTACCATAGAGTCGACTGTAAAGTAAAGGCACCTCGTTAGCATGTCCCCTGCTGCTTTTCTGGACGTGCTCTTTCTGCTATTGCATGTTCCCTATGCGAGGGCATATGTGTGCGTAACACACGTGACATGTGTGTGCCACATGTGATATGTGTGTGACGCACATGTGCGATGTGACATGTGTTCCCCTCCCCCCCTCCTTCCACCATGTCTCCACTCCGCCACTGTCAGTCACCCACCTGCACATTCCCCCCTGGTCAATCCATTGTCACATTTCTACATTGTCAATCCATTGTCACATTTCTACATTGTCAATCCATTGTCACATTTCTACTTTGTCAATCCAATGTTTTTCGTCCCCTCTTTACGTTTCGACTGTAAACTGGTTTTTGAGAATTCTCAAATACCAACTTACCTGGTCAATCCGTCGTCACGTTTTCTACCTGGTCAATCCATTGTTTTCCGTCCCGTCTTGACGTCTTGGCTGTATGCTTGCAATAAGTCTGGCCTTTGTGCTCGCACCTTGCCCTTTTGTACCTTGGCAATTGCAGGCAAGGTGGTTGGATTCGCCGCCAATGATCTTAACAAGGTGGCCAACACCAAGGGCTTCATGGCTTATCTGATCAAGGTGAGTTGGACGCATGACTGGTGTTGAGTGAGGGTGCACCGATTTTGCAGGCAAGGTGGTTGGATTCGCTGCCAATGATCGCAACAAGGGGGCCAACACAAAGGGCTTCATGGCTTCTTTTCATGTATACAATGGGTGCATAGCTATGTTGGAAAATACACAAATTTCAGTTTGCGTTTTGCGTTTATACGCGAGCAAAATTCGCACGCTGCGTTTTAGGTGTAGATTCACCAAAATACGCACCGGCTGACCGCGAAAAAAAAACCAAAATTTCCGCGACAGTTCACGAGCCAAGCCTCTTGGCGGGCTCTTACTGCCTGGGCAGAGCCGAGCCGAGCCGTCCCGTCGAGCTGCGTCCTGGGCTCGGCTCGCAGTCTCCCTTTAGCCGAGTCGGTGCCAGTTCTTTGGCTCGACAGGCCCCGACACGGGCTCTGTGCTGGCTCGTCGACACGGGTTCTGTGCTGGCTCGTCGACGACCAGCGTGACTGAGGTTGCGCTGGTTCGGTTTACCATAAAAATCAAAGGCAGATTTGCACAGAAGCAGCGTGATTATTAATGGCGGATATGCGTCTGGCACCATGCGTTATTTATGGCCATCCCTAGCAATCCACCCTTGAATACACGCCTCCCCACCCACCTTACTCCACCTACTTAGATTCCGTTGCACAAGGGTTGCGCTACCGCATCACCACCTAGAACCGCACCACACCGCATCCCACACGCAACATCACGGATGCGATTTATGCGGGCGAGCCAAGCCAAGCCAAGCCAAGCCAAGCCAAAGGTGGCTCCCGAGCTGGCTGGCTTGTGACAAGCCGACCTGGCTCGGCTCGGCTCGTTGGAAGGACTTGCCTGGCCTGGCTTGAGCCGAACCGGGCTTGGCTTGGCTTGTGCTCATGTCTGCTGTGCCTAGGCTTACCTCGCCATTATGCCTATGTGCTGAGTGAGTGCCGGCCCGAGTGGCTCGACTTCTGGAGGTACTTTACTGATGGCTCTTGATGATGGCTCTTGATGATGGCTCTTGATGCTGGCTCTTGATGATGGCTCTTGATGATGGCTCTTGATGATGGCTCTTGATGATGGCTCTTGATGATGGCTCTTGATGATGGCTCTTGATGATGGCTCTTGATGATGGCTCTTGATGATGGCTCTTGATGATGGCTCTTGATGATGGCTCTTGATGATGGCTCTTGATGATGGCTCTTGATGATGGCTCTTGATGATGGCTCTTGATGATGGCTCTTGATGATGGCTCTTGATGATGGCTCTTGATGATGGCTCTTGATGATGGCTCTTGATGATGGCTCTTGATGATGGCTCTTGATGATGGCTCTTGATGATGGCTCTTGATGATGGCTCTTGATGATGGCTCTTGATGATGGCTCTTGATGATGGCTCTTGATTTTTGATGATGGCTCTTGATGATGGCTCTTGATGATGGCTCTTGATGATGGCTCTTGATGATGGCTCTTGATGATGGCTCTTGATGATGGCTCTTGATGATGGCTCTTGATGATGGCTCTTGATGATGGCTCTTGATGATGGCTCTTGATGATGGCTCTTGATGATGGCTCTTGATGATGGCTCTTGATGATGGCTCTTGATGATGGCTCTTGATGATGGCTCTTGATGATGGCTCTTGATGATGGCTCTTGATGATGGCTCTTGATGATGGCTCTTGATGATGGCTCTTGATGATGGCTCTTGATGATGGCTCTTGATGATGGCTCTTGATGATGGCTCTTGATGATGGCTCTTGATGATGGCTCTTGATGATGGCTCTTGATGATGGCTCTTGATGATGGCTCTTGATGATGGCTCTTGATGATGGCTCTTGATGATGGCTCTTGATGATGGCTCTTGATGATGGCTCTTGATGATGGCTCTTGATGATGGCTCTTGATGATGGCTCTTGATGATGGCTCTTGATGATGGCTCTTGATGATGGCTCTTGATGATGGCTCTTGATGATGGCTCTTGATGATGGCTCTTTGATGATGGCTCTTGATGATGGCTCTTGATGATGGCTCTTGATGATGGCTCTTGATGATGGCTCTTGATGATGGCTCTTGATGATGGCTCTTGATGATGGCTCTTGATGATGGCTCTTGATGATGGCTCTTGATGATGGCTCTTGATGATGGCTCTTGATGATGGCTCTTGATGATGGCTCTTGATGATGGCTCTTGATGATGGCTCTTGATGATGGCTCTTGATGATGGCTCTTGATGATGGCTCTTGATGATGGCTCTTGATGATGGCTCTTGATGATGGCTCTTGATGATGGCTCTTGATGATGGCTCTTGATGCTGGCTCTTGATGATGGCTCTTGATGATGGCTCTTGATGATGGCTCTTGATGATGGCTCTTGATGATGGCTCTTGATGATGGCTCTTGATGATGGCTCTTGATGATGGCTCTTGATGATGGCTCTTGATGATGGCTCTTGATGATGGCTCTTGATGATGGCTCTTGATGATGGCTCTTGATGATGGCTCTTGATGATGGCTCTTGATGATGGCTCTTGATGATGGCTCTTGATGATGGCTCTTGATGATGGCTCTTGATGCTACACGATGCTTCTTCCTCCACCTCTCTCTTTGTCACCCCTTCTCTGCCCCGCCCCGCCTTTTCGTCCCCATCAGTGCTGAGCGAGTGCCGGCCCAAGTGGCTCTACTTCTGGAAGGCCTTCACTGATGGATCTCGATTGCTTCACCATGCTCCCCCTCCCCCTCCACTCTCCCTTTCCTTCTGTCTCTTCCCCTACCCCTCTGCAGGTGCTGAGCGAGTGCCGCCCCGAGTGGCTCTACTTCTGGAAGGACTTCACAGATGGGTCGCGCAACCTGCTGAACGAGGCAATCAAGGTGGGTGGGTGGGGTAAGGTGAGTGGGTGGGGCAAGGTGAGTTGACGGGGGAAGGTGGGTGGGTGGGGACTGAGTTTATTGTCTGGCGGAGTAAGCGAGGCGAGAGCTCTCTGATGGGCCGTGCAACCTGCTGAACGAGGCAATCAAGGTGGGTTGATGGGTGGGATCAAGGTGGGTTGATGGGTGGGATCAAGGTGGGTTGATGGGTGGGATCAAGGTGGGTTGATGGGTGGGATCAAGGTGGGTTGATGGGTGCGGATCAAGGTGGGTTGATGGGTGCGGATCAAGGTGGGTTGATGGGTGCGGATCAAGGTGGGTTGATGGGTGGGATCAAGGTGGGTTGATGGGTGGGATCAAGGTGGGTTGATGGGTGGGATCAAGGTGGGTTGATGGGTGGGATCAAGGTGGGTTGATGGGTGGGATCAAGGTGGGTTGATGGGTGGGATCAAGGTGGGTTGATGGGTGGGATCAAGGTGGGTTGATGGGTGGGATCAAGGTGGGCGAGGCTGGGATGAGGGGAAGGTTACAGCAGGGGGGTGAGGAATTTGATAATGGGGATAAGGCAAGGCAAGTGTTCGGACTTTCACTGACGGGTCTCGCAACCTGCTGGATGTGAAATGGTGCTGGTAGAGCGAGAGCTGATGGAGTGTGGCCGGATGGTGGGGGAGGAACGAGAGAGCGAGTTCAATCTGAACTTGTTGCCCTACCCTCCCCGTTTCCAAGGTGGTTGGAGAGCTGGACAGGGGGAAGGTGCTGGTAGAACGAGAGCTGAAGGAGTGCGAGCGGATGGTGGTGTCAAGCTGGTCAGCCATTTGCCTCTGTTTGCCACTGCTCCCCACGTGTTCACACGCTCTCCCCGTACCCACTCGCAGGTGGACCAGAAGGGATTGGCGGAGGTGGTTGGGGAGCTGGACAGAGGGAAGGTGAAGGTGCTGGTTGAGCGAGAGCTGAAGGAGTGCAAGCGGCTGGTGCGAGATCAAATCTTGTCGCCCTCCCCTCCCTGTTTCCCCCCTTCCTTTTGTGTACCTTTACAGGTGGCTAGTTTTGAGGCGCCTCATTTTGAGTTTTGAGGTGCCTCAAAACTCTCCCTGTTTCCTCCCTTCCTTCTGTGTACCCTTACAGGTGGACCAGAAGGGTTTGGCAGAGGTGGTTGGGGAGCTGGACAGAGGGAAGGTGCTTCTTGAGTGATGCAAGCAAGCCTTTTCCTCTGCTTACCGTTTTCTCCTGTTCGACCCATGCAGGTGGACCAGAAGGGGTTGGCGGAGGTGGTCGGGGAGCTGGACAGAGGGAAGGTGCTGGTCGAGCGAGAGCTGAAGGAGTGCGAGAAGATGGTGGAGGAGGAGAAGAAGAAGGAGGAGGAGAGGGAGAAGGAGAAGAAAACGAAAGAGGAGGGGGAGAAGGGGGAGGGTGAGGGTAAGGATGGTGAGAAGGCAGATAGTGAGAAGAGTGGCGAGACAAAAGGAGAGGGGGAGAAGGAAGGGAAGGGAGAGGGAGGAGGAAAAGGGGATGAGGGGGAGAAAAAGGAGGAGAAGAAGGAGGAGGGGAAGAAGGAGGAGGAGAAGGAGGAGAAGAAGGAGGAGGAGAAGAAGGAAGATGAGCTACCATTGAAGCATGCGGATACACAGAGGGCCATGCAGCTGTTCTACGACGAGGATGTGGTGCGATGGCACGCCAGCGTGCACGGGCTGATAGATGAAATGGTGAGAGTTGGTCGCTAGTAGTGGTTTGAGGCGCGTTGAATCATGCAGACGACACCCATAGAGCCATGCAGCTGTTCTATGACGAGGATGTGGTGCGATGGCAAGCCAGCGTGCACGGGCTCATAGACGAGATGGTAGGTCCACAGCATGGCATGGCGTGGCATGGCGTGGCATGGTGTGGCATGGCATGGCATGGCATGGCATGGCATGGCATGGCATGGCATGGCATGGCATGGCATGGCATGGGAACGTGCACAGCCTGAAGGACGAGATGGTAAGCGTCCCTCTCTGGCGGTGGGTTGAGGGGCGTCCAATCCAAGCACACACATCACGTACCCTTGGCGCCATGCAGCTGTTCTACGAGGACGATGTGGTGCGATGGCACGCCAGCGTGCATGGGCTCATGGGGTTCGGTTTGTTGTACTAACCGACAGACTAGATGGAAATAAGGCCTCCGCAGCCCACCTGTAATACATCTACGACTCCAGCACGGGCTGATAGACGAGATGGTGAGGCTTGTGTTGGGTACGTGGCATGGTTTGAGTTGAGGTGCGTTTAAGCATGCACATCACACACAGAGGGCCATGCAGCTGCCTGCTGTATGACGAAAATGTGGTGTGTTGGCACGGCAACGTGCACGGCCTGATATATGCGATGGTGAGAGTCCCTCTCTGACACTTGTTGAGGTGCATTTAAGCATGCACATCACACACACACACACACACTGAGCCAGGGGTGGCTTTTGCGCTGCTGCAGCATCGAGCCGGGGGTGGCTTTTGCGCTGCTGCAGCATCGAGCCGGGGGTGGCTTTTGCGCTGCTGCAGCATCGAGATTAACCTCCTTTCTTTCATCTCTTGCACCTTCTCTCTTCTCCCGTCCTGCAGAACGCCAGTGCTGAGAATCTCGCTCGAAAGTTTGGCTCGGACCCCAAATCGACGTCCTTCACACTTAGTAAGTTTGGCGCGGCCGGCCCGTCGTGAAACAGTCTTCTCACTTGAAATTCTAGTGTGCGCTACGTGACTCTGGTGCGCCTTACCCTAGGTTTTGCTCGGATCATACCAGCCAAGTGCGCCTCTAGTATGTTCCCCAATGCCTCCTTCATACCAGCCAAGTTATGCAGCTTCTTTACCTCTCCCTGCTGCCGTTCCTTCGTTCAAGTGCTGCCTGCAGAATTCTCAAGAGTTTCTCAAGAGCTTCTTGAGTTGAATTGATTTTGTAGAATTCTCAAGAGCTTCTTTACCCCTCGCCTCCCTGCAGCCTTTCCTTGGTTCCGTGGCGCCTGCACCCTCTGGCGTTCCTGGTGCCCTCCCTGCTCCCCTTTTTCTCTTTCCTTCCCCTGCAGTCTTGGCATTCTGAGACTTTGTTGATCTCCGTAGAAGAAACTGGTCGAATATGACAAGGGGAAGAAGGCTGAGGAGGAGGCTGTTAGTTTGTGCTTTGAGGCACCTCCATCAAAGCGAGACCCCCTCTCTGGTTGCCCTCCCTGCTTCCCTTTCCCCCTTCACTCCTGCAGTCTTTGGCGTGCTGAGGGATTTCGTTGATCTCTTCAAGAAGAACCTGGTGGAGTATGAGAAGAAGACAAAGGCCGAGGCGGAGGGTGAGGAGGAGGAGGATGCTGAACAGTGCTGTGAGGCGTTGAATGATTACCAAACCCTCCCTTCCCCCCTTCCTCACTTCGCTGGCAGTCTTTGGCGTGCTGACGGACTTTGTGGATGTCTTCAAGGCGAATCCGGTGGAGTATGAGAAGAAGGAGAAGGCGGAAGAGGAAGCTGCCAGAGAGAAGCTAAAACCCGCTGTGAAGCCCGCTGTGAAGCCTGCTGGGAAGCGCACTGAGCCTATGCCCCCTGTTTTTCCTCCCTGTTTCCTCTCGCTGTGGCCCTTCCTCCCTCCCTCCCCCAGTCTTTGGCGTGCTGAGAGACTTTGTGGATCTCTTCAAGAAGAATCTGGTGGAGTATGAGAAGAAGAAGAAGGCCGAGGAGGAGGCTGCCAGGGAGAAGGCGAAGCCCGCTTTGAAGCAGCAGAGGGAGCAGCGGGAGCAGCAGCGGGAGCAGGAGAAGCAACAGAAAGCGCAGCAGGAGAAGCAGCAGCAGCAGCAACAGCAGCAAAGGCAGGACGCGGCAGCAAAAACCGCAGCAGTGGAGGGTGAGGAGGAAGAGGACGAGGAAGGGGAGGGGAGTGAGGAGAGCGAGGAGGAGAGAAGAGGAGCTGGGGGCGGAGGGGGGGAGGTTGCCCCAGGGGTAGGGGGGGCAGCGCGAGCAATGCTGGCAGGGGCGATCACTAGAAGGAGAGCACCAGTGGATGAGGATGAGGACAGCGAGGAGGATGATTGGAGTGATTAGAAGCACCAGGGAAGGTGGAAGGGGGGGGTTTCCCCAGGGGTAGGGGGGGCAGTGCGGGCAATGCTAGCAGGGGCGATCACGAGGAGGAGAGCACCAGTGGATGAGGATGAGGACAGCGAGGAGGATGACTGGAGCGACTAGAGGGGTATAGAAGATGAGGTGCAGCAGGGGTGGAGGGGGGGAGAGTGCCCCAGGGGTAGGGGGGGCTGCGCGGGCGATGCTGGCTGGCAGGGGCGATAACGAGGAGGAGAGCACCAGTGGATGGACAATGAGGAGGACAACTGGAGGGACTAGAGGGGTATAGAAGAGAAGGTGCAGCAGGGGAGGAGGGGGGGAGAGTGCCCCAAGAGGGGGGGGGTGGGGGGGGGTACTGCGCAGGCAATGCTGGCAGGGCGATCATGAGGAGATGGGCGCCGGTGGATGAGGATGAGGATAGTGAGGAAGACGACTGGAGTGACTCGTGGGCGGATGGGTGCCAGTATGGGGCAGTAAGGGGCGGTATGGGGCGGTATGGGGCTGGAGCAATTTTGAGGAGACGGGCACCGGTGGATGAGGACAGCGAGGAGGACGATTGGAGCGACTAGAGGGGGATGAGGGTGGAAGGAATTAGTGATCCATCACGAGGGGGCGGGCGCTGGTGGGTGCTGACGAGGATTGAGTCTGACCGAAACAAGGACAGCGAGGAGAGGAGGACGACTGGAAGATGTTAGGATCGGAGGGCCAGGGAGGGATGAAGTGGTTCCGGCAACTGTAAGAGCGGACCTCTGCTCTGCTGCAACTTATGGGAATCGCCGAGCCTAATCGTGTTTGGAGGGCCAGGGATGTGGAGGTTCAGGCTGCAGGCAACTGTTGTTGGGAGGGGCGATGCTAAGTGCTTCAGGTTACCAGTAGTCAAGGGAGGTGTAACTAGGTTAGGGTGTATGCGGTGGTGGTGTGGTCGTGTATGAGGTTGTTTCTAATATAGCGTGTGGGTATCCGCAGTGTAAGAGATGAGTTCGGGGGGAAGTGTGCTACCATAGTTACTCCCTATTGATTTATAACTTGTACCAGAGAAGGCGTCTAGTGGACTGTTTTGTGAGATGTTTTGCGCCTGATAAACTGTTTTGATCATGCAATAATGTGGTTGCTTCCAGGGCAGGCCCCCAGAACAGGCCCCACGATATCAGGATTTTTACGCTTTTTACGCTTTTTTTCAGGGTGTTTGCTTGTACCTACTGACCCTGATGAGAAAGCCTATTTTTTTAGCACAAGACTGATGGAAAAACGTTTTTTTGCTTATCGACACTGAGCGATCCGCGCAGTAACGCGGGACAACCCTGAAACGGGAAACTGCGAGATTCACGGAAGTTTATTTTGGTCAGTGCCTGCTGACCTCCTCCTACGTCAGTCACGCAACAAATTGTACAGCAATACCTGGATGAGGCGTGAAATGCTGTCGCGCTGTAAATTTCGCGCAGCCGCCATGCAGCCCCATTGGTTTTTAGCCAAATCATGTATTTGCAGCCAATGGGTGAGGTAGTTTATGATCTCACAGCAACAGCACTGGCATCGCGCTACGATGCCAGCACTGAACCTGGCATCGTGCCCACGAACGGCCCGTACCTGCCACACAATTCGTCCTCCCCATGACGCTCTTCCCTCCCTACCGAGCAACCCGCCTGGCACAGTCGAAGCTGTTGATCATGACGAGGGCTGAATAGCCCATGGGAAAACGTCACCCAGTTTCGTTTGCCCCACCCTAGCGTGCAGCCTCTCAGGCTGATGTATCGCGTTCTCAGCTCACCCAGCACCAGCAGCCTTTTCCTCCCAGCCTGCTCTCGCCATGGCTGTCGCTGGGGGAAACTGTGTCGATGGTGACGCGCCAGCTCCAGACGAGCCCTCTCAAACTAAGTTTCCCGTCGCAGCTCCCCAAAGCGCGCTAGAGTTCCTATTAATATCACTGCCGCCTTCCTCCAAGCAGAATATACTTTCAAACGTCTCAGCATCCCACCTGGCGTCTGCCTCACCCATGCCATCAGTGGCTGACTCGTTCGCTACCGCTACGCCAACCGAGGTGATTAGCTTTCCTACTGCGCCTTCTTCTCCCGCTCTTCCACCGAACTCCACATTACCAGCGCCCGTCTGGGTGTGTGCGGACGACACGCCGGAGACTCCACGTGAGACTAGCGCCGCTGGGTGTGTACAGCAGTGGTTGGAGACTCCGACCACTGCTGTAGCTGAGACTAGCGCCGCTGGTGTTTGCCGTGCAGGACGTCAGTCTGAGTCTGGTAAGTGTGCTTGACATGGCTTTGTGCGTTGATATCAGGAAACAAGGCTGGGTGTTAACGTCTGCTGTTTACTGTGTCGTCTCCTGACAGGGATCCCCACCTCTGCCACCGCCGTTCCTGAGACTACTGCGGCTGGAGCTCCAGCTGAACCCGACACTAGCATGGCTGAAGCTCGCCGTGCAGGGCCTGACTTTGTTTCTGGTGAGTCCTGTTTCTGCTTCTATTGTATCCAGTCAATCACAAGCAAGTCTTAATTAATAACCTTGTCCTCGTATGGCAGGAACCCCTACCTCGGCCCCCGCTGTACCCAAGAATAGCACTGCTGGTGCCTGTCGATCAGGATCTGACTATGCTACCGGTGAGTAGTGTTTTTAGCTTCTGGTTCTATTGAATCCTTTAACCGTAACCTTTTACTAATAAATCTAATGATATGTGGCAGGAATCCCAACCCCTGCCTCCGCTGTACTCGAGAGCAGGGCTGCTGGTGTTCGTCGAGCAGGACTTGCTGGTGTGTTTATTGGTGAGCCGTGGTTTTAAATTCTGTTGTATCCATGGTTTACAAAAAGCTGTTTACTAATAACTATGTTGGCAACTGGCAGGAACCCTGACCCTGCCAACGGTGTAATCGAGAGTAGTGCTGCTTGTGGCCTTCGAGCACGACCTGAATGTTCTACTGGTGAGACTTCTGATTCAGTTGTTCCCATCGCTTAAAAGGAACTGTTTACTAATAACGTTATTGACACTTCGCAGGGAGTGATTCCACAGCCACTGAAGGAGATGGTGGACGTCGCATGCATGGCATGGAAGATCTTCCTGAGTCGAGTGCAGGCGCGGCAGTTCGGGCATCTCGCTACCGTCAAGAAAAGCTCCCGTTCCTCTCCACTGCTTGTCCTGCGACAACATCAGCCGCCAATCCCAACTCCACCGCCGATACTACTTCCTCTGAACCTAGCTTCAATGTCATTGAGTTGTTGTACTCTGATGCTCTTGGCAAGTACAAGATGCATTGGCAGGAACGTTACCCTTGGCTCGTTCTAACCAAAACACCCGGGGGGTTTCCTGCTTTCAAGTGTACTGTGTGCTCAGAGCATGCCGGAGATACCGGGAAGTGTGGTCGTAAGGGAAAGGGTGCTACTGATGTGCAGAACCAGGCATTCAAGCGGCATGCGTCCACCAACAAGCACAAGTTGGCGATGCTGCGGCAAAACGACCTCCTGCAAGCTGCCACCCGACAACCTCGCATTGACAAGCACCCAGCGGCACCTGACATAGAGAAGGATCGAGCCATCGCACTCCTCGACGCTCTCCTCTTCAATTGCGGAGAACAACGAGCCAATTGAAGCGTGGGTTCGGCTAGTGAAGTACCTCGCGGAGAAGGGGGTGAAAGGATTTCCGAAGAAGGGATACGGGAGCTACTATACCGCGTAAGTGTTGGGTCTATTCTAACTGAACATCATAATGTTTATTGATGTTGTTTACCAGTGCGTACAGTACACTTTTTACAATTGTGTCCTTTCCACATAATTTATGCAGATATGGCTTCGGGGAATTCACACAAGCAACCGCAACTTGGTTGCAGACAACCCAACTTGACCACATTCGGGCTAGTCCCTATGTGGGTCTAAGTTGCGACGAGTCAACCGATCGCTGCCGTGGGAAACATCTCATCGTCTACGCTACATTCGTCAAGAATTACACGATCGTCACAGAGTTTTTTGCACTGCTGACTGTAGACCGAGCGGATGCGGCGTCTCTTCTTGGCCTGCTCCTCTCACACCTTGGAACTGTCGGCATCGACCTCTCCCGCCTGACTGGCATCAGCACAGACGGGGCGGCCGTGATGACGGGCGTACGCAATGGGCTTGTGGCAAGGCTTCGCACGCGCATTCCTCACCTCGTTTCTTGCCATTGCATTGCACACAGGTACATGTCTTTGTTGATTTGCTTCCAGTGTCTGTTTTTGCCTGGAAAGAAGCTGACTATTTCGTGTACGTTAATTTCAGGGAGGCGTTGGCTGCGAAGGATGCCGCAGACTCGTTGCCACAGTTTGGGATGATAGATGCCTTCATCCGGTGGTTGGCAGAGTTCCTTGGACGCTCGGGACCTTGGCACCAGCGCTTTCTAGATCTGCAGGAGCTGCTCTGTCAGACAAGTCTTGAGCTGCAGGGCATCTTTAATGTCCGCTGGCTATCTCGCGGTGAGGCCGTCCTGAGGTTGGTGGCGGTGCTGCCTGGTGTGATTGTCATGCTTCATGAACTGGGTGATGCCAGGATGTACAAGATTGCAACAAGCTTCATGTTCCAGTTCTTGCTTTTTTTCCTCGCTGACATGCTTGAGCAGCTGAACGTCTTGAACAAGACGTTCCAGCAGCGAGAGGTGAGATGGTGCTGATTGCTGCATCCTTTTCGGAGTGTGTTTACACGTATTCTAAGGCGACGATTTTGGTGGCGGGCTCAGTGATCGCCTATCTGCATTCCTACGGCTCCATGGGGAAGGGGGATCACGGCAGGTGACTGTTCAAGGGGTGGATGCTGATGGCCGCCCTACAACGCACACGTACCTTCTGCACGACGACGCGATTGAAGGCTACAATGGTCCTTTCACCCACAACGCATGTGTGGACCTCTGCACGGCTATGGCGGAATCGATCGTGGGAAACCTGCTGGATCGACTGGGCGACCTCGACTCGTTGTCCGGAGTGCGCCTCTTCATCTCGCTTGACTGGCCGTTAGCTCGCCAGGAGCGGAACGCCCTCTGCCTCGAACATCTCATGTCTCTGGTGGCTTTGTTTCGGGCGCAGCATTCGGAAGAGATCTTGCCCGGTATGTTGTTGTCACTGCCGCATGTTTGAGTCTACTATGTACTTGCTATCACTTTAATAGCTATATTATGTCCTTGTTGAATATGGGCAGGTATCGACAAGCGTAGGGCCGTCAAGGAGCTGCGCAACTTCTGTCTCGTTCGAGCTGCTGCCCCGAGGTGTGAGAAAAGTTTCCATGCAGGCCTTACTGCGATGCTCAAAACGCCTGACTGGAAGGATGCCTACCCGAACCTTGCGAAGTTGTGGGTATCGGTTGCTGTCATGCCGCTATCCACTGTGGAGTGTGAGCGCTGGTTCTCCCGGCAGAATGTTATCAAGAGCTGGCAGCGCGGGGCTATCAAAGACGCGCGGCTGTCGGATCTCATAGCCATGTCGCTGCTGGATTATGAGCCGGATTGGGAAGAGGTGGTGTCTATTTGGAGGAGTTATAAGAAGCGACGACCTTTCTCACTGACAGCCCGGCCGAAGAAGCGTCCGACGAGCAGGAAGGGGAAGGAAGTGGCAGAGGAACTGGAGGAGGTTGAGGTCGATGACGATGAGGAAGATGAGCTCGTGGGGAATGAGGTAGTCGACCGTTTAGACGATGACGACGATTCTGGGTAGTGAACTAGTGAAATGGTTGTGTAGCTGAGAACCTGCTGTAAAGTTTCTGTGTAGCATGTTAGTATGGCGCATGACTACGTCGGCATTGCCCTATTTTAGCTTTTGGTAAATTCGTAGATATTGTAGTTAAACTAGAGTAGCTGAATTTAAATGATGTGAAATATTTTTTTGAAGATAGAAAATCAGTGTAAAATTAACTGTCAACCCTGATGAGAAAGCGAACATTCGAAATCGAACGCTGATGAAAAAGCTTTTCTTTTCTAGTCCACACTGATGGAAATTTTTTTCTCAAGTAAGACACTGAGCTTTCAGAGTACCTTAAAACCAAACGTGGGGCCTGCCCCAGAAGTCAGGAAAATTTTCCTGATTCAGGAAAAAAACAGGGTGTTGAGGGGTACCAGTCTTGATTTGCTAGGGTTTTGTTTTTGGCATTTCCTGAAAT